CATGCCCCCTATCAAATAAAATGGATGCAAACGTTTCGGTGCTATAATGCCTCTTGATCATAACACTTTGCAGTATTGTCCTACAACGTGTATCCCACGTAAATCCTACTAAACGTGACGAAGTAAAATAAATGAAAATATAAAAACCCCTTGTGTATAGCAGGATATCCTAACTTTACTGACTTCCATCGAGATTCGCTGAAATTCCCATGCAAACATAAATCATTTCCCAATGACATGAGTTGAATATGATATGGACAGCCACTGGTCTTATTGCTATATGTGGTAATATGATTCTCTTCCCTTGATTTGTATGCGTTGATTTAAAACAAACTATGGTGTGTAATAGAGGCGCCGTTTGTACATGGACTACAAGAAGGCTATACACTCGCAAGTGTATCTCCGTTTGGGGTCCGTAGAGACCCGGCTTGCATTTATATAACTTATTCTATGAAAAGGTCGGGGTTAAATAATTACAGGAAGCATTTGATAGGTGATGAGAGATGAGCTGGCCCCAGAAGGGTGGCAGAGCGTATGGGAGAACATCCATCGTCAGAAATACCGACCGACCGAGGTCTTAAAGTGACTCTCCGACATTGCCAGTTTGACCTTGTCTATATACATGTCATGCAGGTCGAGTGCGACCTATCTAATCTAAAAAAAAGCTCCACAAAAAAAAAACAATGGACAATGTATCTTTAATACGGATTCAAGGAGAGGCCTAGAACAAATTATTGAGGTTGGCCAAGTATATATCTTTGATCACTTTTTTTAAAACTGAGTAAATACAACTAAACTATTATGTGTAACATTATGCCTAAAATGAAATGATATACGTTACAACTAAGGAGTTGTGACCTTGTAACAATACTCTTGACAAATTGCTGTTTAATTTGCCACGGCGGAATGCACCTCAATTTGTTTCAGTTTCCAATATGATAACGATCCCAACTCCGCCCTCCCTATCATACCTTTTCAACTGCACTTTTCTATAATTCAACTGTACATGGCTTGTTGACGACTGTACGTTATGAAATTGCCAGGTCCGTCACAGCCGATAAGATCTCAAGGTGCTAATAGAGCTCTCTCTCTCTCTGTCTCTGTCTTTCTCTCTCCCTCTCTATCTCATTGGCAGTATCACCTCAATCTCTTTCGTTTTCCTATCTATTCTTTGGAATTTTAAAACCTGAATTATTTTAATCGTGCTGCGAAGATCTGTCCCCCGAATGCACCTCATAACGATTTACCTGTGGTGAAACCTTGATGGCGTTCTTGGGAATCTGCGGCGAGGTCTGTCTTGGCGCTTTGATTAAATCTGTCCACTTTGAACTCGACCTCCTTTTTATTATCGTGCTCTCTCTCTCCCCTCACACTCACACATACTTACTTCTCTGACTCTCTTTTTCCCCACACACACACATGCACATACACATACTTTCACCCTCGATCCCTATTTCTCGTTCTATATTGGATCATTCTTTCTCTCTTTTTTTTCCATCTCAAGCATAACATTTCTCTCTTATTCTTGTGTATACACTCTCCTCTCACTCACTCTCTTTTTCTCTCGCTTTCTCTCGCTTTTTCTCGTCCCTTCCATATGCCTTCTTCTCTTTTCCCGCCAGCTCTTTCTGTGGTTGAAGGTTATACGTCAAAAGGAGCCTGATATTCAATCAGAAAATATAAAGTCATGCACACAATAAATCTGCATACAATCCCATGTTTAAATCCCTCCTAATTAACGGTCAATAAATGTTATTCCCTCGATATACTTTTCGGGTTTCGCGCGCGTCATCGCACAGCAATATTCTAATCCCGATGAAGTTTCCGCGGTTTGGTTTGCCCGACATTAACGCATCGATGTGAAACAAATTTTCATTGAAGTATCGCATGATTGGGCATAATGAATTCTGGAACATTATTTTCATTAACATGTTCTGTGTTGCCCGGGGTTAAAGAGATAAGAGAAACCATGATGATGATGAAACGAGAGATGTAAACAGGGGAGTTTGCAATGAAGGAGTGAGAAAAAGAATGCGGAAAAAAGAGGGAGCATAATGAATGTTTAGTCGGGTGAACAAACTGACTAGAGCCAATTATTTCGAAGGTTCGAGTGGTTCTTAAAGCAAACTTTCGAAATAGCTAACATTCTGGTTCATTCGGCAATTTATATGATTGTGCATGGAAGTTTATTTCATTTTCGGTTTCATCAATTCTCAAGTCGATCTGTATAATTTTATTTTCATTTGGAAAAGTGCACCTACGGCCTACGAAGTATGGACAATCCTAAAATGAAAATTACGTGACTGTATCTTGGAAAGTGGAAAATCAGGTGTTTTGTTGATTAATACATTAAGCTTGAAAATGATATGAATATAATTTTAGGCTAATTATTCCATTGGACATTTCATTCATTAACCATATCAAAATTTAATAGACCATTTGCTATGAAAGGGGGCACCCCTTTTCAATTACAGATGGAATTATCAACACAAATATGATAACCCTATCAATATATAACTTTCTGATGAATTACAATCGTCGAAAACTACCCACCTTGCTATCAAAACGATAAGTTCTGATATTAATAGGTCAACGCGAGAATATGTATCACCGCGATCTATCTATGCAAAGTGAAATAAACACCTGTGCATACCATGTAAATTCCCTTGACAGGTGATTGTATAGTAGCTTGCATTTTTTATTTCGATAACAGCCGTGTGTATATAACTCAAGTGGAGTGTGAAAAACGCATATTAGGCGCAGCATTCTCCTCTATTATTCTGCCGCTATTTATAAACTTATCGTAAATTGACTGGTAGAAAATATAGCTGTCAATTTTACATGTGTCATGCCGCTTGTTATTTTGTTCAATTGTTGTTGTATCCATGACGTCGTATAGCATATATATAGGTGTTATGGCAAAGTTGCTCACACGATAAACAAAATATTAAGGAGTTTTTGTGTTTTGAGGCGGGGCAACCTTTGATTTATACTTTTTGTTATACTGTCGTCATCCCAAATCGATGTCAATACTTTGTGATTTTTACTGGTTGACTTTACTCTGTTTAATGCATTTGATTTGAATAAGAAAACAAATTGGCTGCAACCATAAGTACGAAAATGAAAGGAACAAATATGGTAATTGATTTAGAATTTCTTTTTACCTTTGAGTTCGGAATTTTATTCTGTGATACGAGCTACACAAGAAGCTATAAGCGTTTTTTGTTGAGCAGCCGTGTAAGCTGTTCAGATGTTTCTAATTTCTTTTCTAATAGTATAGAATGTAAATATGAAATATGTATAGACGATAGTTTAGTCTCAGCAAACCTCTGCTCTCTGCATAGTATCATGCTATGCATGGCTATCGCATGAAGAATTTCTAAAAAGGCAAGCGAGAAAGTGATCTTGACGATGATCACGTGTAAACTCGTTCAAGTCTAGCGGAAAACCCCGGTGTAGAGGAGTCTTATGAAACGGTTCCGTTTCGATTAAGCCATGGAATTGGATACTCGCTAGGTGAGAAGGGATAGTTCAAGTCTATGAGAAGGGGTGGGGTTGAGAGGAGATGGGAGGGGTTATCAATATTAAACGTGAACCAAAAATTGTAGGGCCCTTTTCTGCCACTCTGTCCCCCTTTCTCTTGTATCTCTTTCCCATCACCCCTCCCATCTCTCCTTTCTTTCTCCCTTCTCCCACCCCTCTGTCCATATCCTTTTCCCCTCTCTTTTCCCCTTTCTACTTCAACTTCTCTTTGCATCTGTTGAAAGCCATTTTGGGTCTTCTGTCAGATTTTCATATTGGATATACTGTAATACAATTTTCTGGATGATATTCAAAATTCGTGAAAAGTGAGAACCATGTGAAATCGCATTCTCGCTGTCAGTTTCGTCCAGTTCGATAAGCGAACCTTGAGGAATCGAGTAGAAAATGAAAGGGGAAAGCGGGAAATGATTTGCGGTTTTAGGAAGCAAAAAGTGAAAATCTGCGAAGGGGGGAATGCTATCAGATTAATTTCTCGCCGACTTTCCAAATGTCATGTATCGGTATTATGACGAGATTGATGCGATTTGATTTGAAGCGGGAAGGAGAGAATTAGGAACTTAGCCAGGAGATGGACCTTCGAAACATTCCAATAAAAATCAGTATTTTCTTTGGAGGAGGAAGGCGGAAAGGGGGAGTTTTTAACGGTTCAATGTCAAATAATATCGAAATAATGAACTGGGTGGAATCACGACTCCTTAAAATCAAGCCACATGGCATTCGAAATGGGAATGAATCCCATTTATCATGTAATGAGTGAGGAAAATTGTAGATAATTTATGACAGGTAGTCACTGAAAGTTCGTTTGCACCGTCCTTGTTTCAACACTCTAGTGCGGCAACTCTTGCTCTTCGATCTCTACAGAGGGAATACAAAAAGCTTGCATGTGACGATCGATTTTAGGGGTTATTCCTGGGTTAAATTCAGGTTAACTTGCAGGGCAAAGTGGTGAAGGATATGTTAACAGCATTGGAGCAGAAGAGAATTCTTTCATAATCCATGAACAGGCGTGAAGAACGGCAGAATTCCTGATTGTAATCCTGATCCGTAGGTGTGAACGTTTGTCAAAAGTATTTGACAGCGCGGGGCGTGAAGTAGTTCGCTGAATTTTGACACGTACCTACGAACAATAGAACAAATGAAGAGTGTGAGGATGAAAGAAAAAAAAAATCAATATTCATATTACGCGAACTATGTATGACATAGTGTGACATGAACTGTTTACTAACAGAGTAGTAGATTGGCCTACAAAAGCTTACCGATTTGCAGTATTACGATTATTTGGCTGTAAATCTTCCAACTAAAAGAAGACAAAGAAATTGATAACATACCCATTACAATATAATGGGCATCAATATAGCAGCATTTGAAGAATATCAGCAGTTAGACTACTTTCAGTACTTCAATCTATCCATATCTAATTTGTTTCTTCTCTTTTTCTTTTTTTTTTCAACCTTCAGGGGCCATCTTTCTACGAGAAGAACTTTGCCAAATTTGGACGAGTCTTCAAAACGCACCTTTTCCTCAACCCGACTGTTCGAGTGCATGGACCTGACAATATCGCCAAAATCCTTCAAGGGGAGAATGATATTGTGACTTCCACAGTAAGTGTTTCCCTTGCCATTTTCCATTTTGGAAGAAAAAAAAACTGATGATAATTAAAGTACACTGTACAATGTGTTGACAAGCCGTGTATTTGTATTTTTGAATGGGTCTGAGGATTGCATCAAATCCAATTCAAATTGTCATGTTCCCTACACTTGTGATAGCTTTGAATTATAACCTGTTGACAGGGGAAAATGCGATTTATATTTTGAAGAAAAAGAAAAGAATACTACCAAAGCCTTTAGATTTCAAACTACCTTCCCAGCCCCCTCACCTATAAAATGCAAATCTACGAGATTGGCACACTGATTTTTTATAATGATTCATAATTAACTTTCTGCTGTAGATGTTTTTATTTAATTGTATTTTATTACTCCTTTCAATATAATAATAATAATAATAATAATAGTGTAAACTTATAGAGCGCACACACCGTCCAGGGACGCTCATGGATAAGTTTTATTGAACAGTTACATTTGGAATGTGGGGGGGGGGGGGGGGGCTTTTCAGGCCTGTGCTAGAACAAATATTTGGCACCAAGACAATCGGAGGAAAAGACCAAATTGAGCCCTAGATCTGAAACATAAGGCCTCACATCTCAATCCACAGTATATTTTAACCGATTTGAAAAGAATCCAATTTTACCTTTGTACCTCGATCTTTTTTTACTTTGCTCTTATATCTCTAAAATTATCATTATTTATACATTCTGTTAAGAAAGTAAGGATATTCTTTTGGGCCTTAATTTGAGAAAGGGTTGACACATTTTGTATTTGTACTTAATATGCCACATCAATTATTTTGAAAGGGGGCCTGGACCAGCTGTGCCGACCCCCCCCCCCCCCCCCACCTTCTCCACCCAGCCACTGGGTATATGCTACTCTGTATTTTTGTCTACCAGTCTTATTTTTCAAAATTGTCCAGACGATATGCCAATCACACAGTGGTTAACTTTAAGGTCGGACGATCACACTCTTGTTAATTGGTGATTGTTTTCTTAAGGACATCTAATATTGATTTTGGTGGTATATCCCCATTGCTCACAAAGTACATAGAAAGTGGTTGCTAGCAGAATGTATATCCACCCGGGAGACCCATAATCCAAATCGTGGAAATCGCCAAACGGCCTAATTTGTACAAATTAGTACATTTCAGTACCCTTGCTTTATCACGTTATATGCTTCATTATTTTGATTGAACACAGCAGTTCAAAGCATGAAAATAACCGAGTTGACCTTTAAATGATCATAAGAAATAACATTTGCACTTTTCATCCAATCAAAGTTTTGGCAAGAACACACTTTTCACTCTAAAACTGAATGTGTACCTCACCCTGTGTATCGCTGTTCATATTGACTTACTTCCCCTTTCCTTTCAACTCACTTTCTCTTTATGTAATACCCCTCTCTCCCTCTCCATTCTCTTCCCACTTTTTCCTCTTACATATCCATGTGCCAATCTTTCCCTCTCTACCCCTCTTCTCTTTCTCCATCTCTCTCTCTCTCTCTCTCTCTCTCTCTCTATATATATATATATATATGCTTTCTCTCATCCTTCATGTAATTTCCCCTCCAATTTTCTTATATAAATAACTCATTTCACTGCTCTCTCTCTTTCTCTCTCCCCCCCCCCCCCCCCCCACACCCCCATTTCTCTCTGTCACTCACTTCACTCCTATTCTCATTCTCTCTCACTTTGTTTATTTATTGTATATTTTTCTTCCAATGCACACTCGTCCTATATCCTTTTTTAGCCCCCCCCCCCTCTCTCTCTCTCTCTCTCTCTCTTCATCATGTTTCATTTATGATAATAATAATATCATAATCATCGTCATGTTTATGACTAATAAATATACATCACTCCTTCATTCCCTCTATCTCTCCATCTCTCCATCTCACTATCAATCATTCCCATCTCATATTTCCCCTTCGCTCAGAGTTAGACCTCCTACTCCCTGCCCGGCACCAATCAATCAGTCCCTATGTGATAAAGTAATTGTATTTGAGCTTTCTCCCCCTGCTTGGCAGCATGACTGACTCAAACTTTCCAAAGGACGTTCACCCGCGCAAAAAGAAAGGGAAACAAATCACTACTACCTCTACCAACATAGCAATACGTGACAATAAACTAGACCATATTTTGATGAAAATTCTTTTAATTTCTAATTATCCCATAAGGGTATTAATGGAGACTTCTAACTGATTATATTAATCTTTCATTTTTTTTCTTTTTTTTTCAGTGGCCTTCTTCGACCCGTCTTATCCTGGGTGAGGATACCCTAGCCATGGCACAAGCAGAGGAACATGCATTTATGAAGAAAAGGGTGTTTGCAGCTTTCTCCCATTCGGCTCTCAGCGGTTACGTCTCCATGATTCAGGTATGTACAGTGGCAGATCCAACCCCCTCCCCCCCCCCCCCCCGACATCAAGTATAAGGAGAAAAAAATGCCCCCAATTTGGCACACCCCCCCTTCCCCCTTAAAGAAAAATTTTCAGAGTTATGTGGTCTGTGAGGAGGACCTGTAATTGTTGCTATACCAGGTAAATCTGGGGCAATTTGTATGTGCAGCCTGACTTTTGGCTTGATTCTCATACCAGAGGTCATAGGTTTGATCCTCAATGTATGCTTACATCCTAGAACAAGTTGTTTAAATACCTTTGTCCCTCTCAACCCAGGTTTATAAGATGGGTACCCTTGCAGTTACGGCTTGGGAAATAATATTTGCAGGGCCAGAAGGATTTGCAGTTTTGACACTGATGAAACCACCTTGAGCAATTATGACCATGATACAACAGAAATATTACAGTTTTCACTCTCCATCTCTTGGTTTTAGAGTGAGAGACTGATCTAACAAACTAACCCTAACCCTACCCATTCATCCTTGCAGAAACCAGTCAGGATGGCCATTGAGAAGTGGTGTCAGTCTGATGAGGTGCTAGCCGCTAATGTCTTGAGGCATCTTTCATTCCGTGTCGCTGCCGATGTGCTCTGTGGCTTCCACTACACCGATGAAGACGTGACGGAGCTGTGTCAGAAGTTTGACGATATCATGAAAGGAATCATGACCATCCCCTACGATGTGCCCTTCTCCCGATTTAGAAGGGTAAGCCATCAAAGCTAATTTTATCTTTATTCTTTGTTTTTAATAATTGACATGATTAGCAACCCACATGTTAAGATCCCTTTTTATTTCCCTTGAGTGGTCTTTGTATACAGGTTTGACTATAATATGGAACTAATATAAAGACAATCATCTTCTAGGGGCAATATGTTATAGCCTATAGCATTGTCACTTCTTCCTTCCTAACCTCCTCTTAACACAAAACGTATTCGGAGAGTAACCAATTTTGATCTGTGCCTCTTTACCCAACTGGGTCAGTACAAGCGTGTACATACTTGATCTCTTTAAGGAATATATTTATAACTATATCTCTCTTTCTCTCCCTCTCTCCATCTCTCTCTCTCTCTCTCTCCCTCTCTATCAACCTCTCTTTCCCTCCATCTCTCTCTCTCTCTTTCTCTCACTCTCTCTCTCTCCCTCTCCATCTCTCTCTCCCTGTCTCTCTCTCTCCATCTCCTCACCCGTTGACGCTCCAGGCACTGCAGGCACGTGATTTCATCAAGCAGAAGATCGACGAGAACGTGACGAGGAAGGCTAATCTGGATCCAGAGGAAGACACTCAAGATGCCATGCGAATCCTGATCGATCTAGCGAATAAATCAGATGACAGTTCTTCCAAGGAGGGCCTGTATGAAGCTATTAAGAATCAGACAGTAAGAGCATTTTTCACTTCATCATGACCCTTTATAGGACTATGAAAATAGTGTAGGTTCTTTGTTTTATATGGGCTTTGTGTTTTGTTATTAAAGTCTTCAATTTGTCAGAATAAATTCTTAATGTTTAGAATGTGGTCTTCATTAAAACCAAACCTCTCAAGTTTTCTACAAAAATACTTGAGGGGTTTCAAATGGAATTACAATGTTCAATGTTTTGCCATTTATTATAAATCACTCTTCAATGGCTTATATTTCTACATCAAGAGCAATCCTTCACATATGACATTGCTGTTAAGATGATATTAAATGGAAGCTTACAAATTATTTTATCAGAACTATACTGACTTTGCATTAATACATGTAGGTATAAATATGTTTGAAATCTTGATTTGTATCATGTGGCCTTCTAGAATTCTCACTTTCATTTCTTTCATCTTCTTTCTTGCTCCTCAGATTGAATTCCTGACGAGCGGCATGCTTTCCCTGAGTTCTGCAGCGAGCACCATGCTGTACCACCTGGCTAAGAAGCCATCGGTCCTGGCCAAGGTCCGAGAGGAGCTCAACGACTACGGCCTGCTGACCGACTACAGTCCGCTGACCCTCAACAAGATCAACCAATGTCGCTATGTCATGCAGGTTATCAAGGAGAGCTTGAGGATGGTCCCGCCCATCGGCGCCACCTTCAGGACAGCACTCAAGACCTTCGAGTTAGATGTAAGTCGGATCAAGGTGCTGTCACATTTGCTCTTGCAACAAGGTTTAAAGCCCGTCTGTACTAGTTTGCCAGGGGATTAGACCTCCCTGCATGGTCACTGACATGTGGTTATCTCATCAACTTAGCTCTCAATTAACATAAGAAAAAGAGGATCATGGGGGACCAATGGTCACTGCTTAGGCATTGTTTTCTATATAGAGGGAGCAAGGGTAGATATTCAAACTCTTTTTTTTCTTTGTGAAGAGAGCTTTACTTAAGCTACAGTTACTTATCATTGACATGCCTTTGGTCTTGGCAAAGGTATCCATGCATAGTAAGTCTTGTAAGAAAACTATTTAAAGGATACCTTGCAACAGACTTGACAGATTTTATATTGATCTGCCTGTTGCACAAATGACTCTCATTGTATATGGATAACTATAGCTACATGAATGTTTTTGGTAACTATGTCAAATGTATCCTAAACCTTTCTGTCTCTTATTCCACAGGGCAAGCAGATTCCCAAGGGTTGGACAGTATTCTGGAGTATCCGAGAGACCATCCACTTATCAGATTCCTTCACTGACACCAAAAACTTTGACCCCGACCGATTCTCACCTCAACGCCAAGAGGACAAAGTAGCCGGTCGCTTCTCCATGCCAGTCTTTGGCCATGGCACCCACAGCTGTATCGGACAGAACTTTGCACTTCTCACGTTGCGCATCCTGCTTATCGAGTTGGCACGTACCTGTGACTTTGAAACGCCCAACGTGGACAAGATCAAATTCTCGTGGATACCATCGCCAAAACCAAAATGCGGGATGCCGACGCGGTTCACACGAAAAATCCTGGTGGACCAAAATGAGAATGAAGTCAGTTACTCCTCGAAATCATCAACATGTCCGCAGGGTGAGGACTCAAGGGAACGTTCAGAGGAAGGTGTTCATCAGAGGAGTACAACGTGTCATGCTGCATGAAGACATCAGAATCAGACATTGTCTTCTGAGAGACACAGGTAGCTGGACATTTACACGCACAAAGGTCTACTGCAGTGTATTCTTTTGAAATGAAGAGACGATCATGCTCTGTTCCAGTGGATTGAATCTATTGACTCGGCACGCGATGTTACCGTGAATCGTAACCTTGCACTGTGGCATTGCATTATGAATGCATCTGGACAGCGGTCATGATAAAATTGAATCAACAATAGAATTTATCCTTGATTTCAACCAACTGCCAGCAAAGCATTCTACATTCATTGACATGTATTTCAAGCAAAAAGCTGTTGTTATGCTAAAAATAAATGCCTTTGGTGTATGCTATTCAAAACCTACTCAATAGTGCAGTGACGTAAAGATGTTATTGAATTTATATATATAAAATTATGTATACATCTTAATCAATATATATATATTTATATATATTGCCTTCTGAATGTATTCCATTTTCATGACTCTTTTCACTAGTAGGTTATCAATTCTCTTTGTATTCATTTCAGGCAGTTTTGTGAAGACAATGACATCTTATTATTCATATTTTATCAAATTGTAACACTGTAAATATCACGTCTTGTCTTCAATGTCTTTCCAAAGTGTATTACTTTTTATTTGATAGGCAGATATTTTTATCGATGAGCAACCAATCTGTACTTGACAAAAAAACTGTCTGATACTCTTGACAGCTAGTTTCTCTGGTTTGCAATTAATCTACTTATACATAGCATGACAGTATTTTGTATCTTTTGGAGAAATACTTGACTCTTTTTGAGTTTTAAGATGAGCAGAAAAAGCAGCTTAAGGGATATTCAGCAAGATAGCTATACATTTTATTTATTGATCACTTATTTTTTTCTTAATTGCTTTTGTGGTTTTGGAGTCAAATGCAAGAATAGAATTTCATGAAAGTGTTATCTGCGAGGTGTTTTTTGAGTAAAAAGTGTTGCCCTCATTTCTTTGTTTCAAAAGTGAAAGACACAACCAGTTTTACCTTTGTGGCATGGTATGGCTTAAAAGTAATACATACTGGCACCCAGTACTGCTTTACTATAGGCTGGATGGTAAGATGTTATAGTTACCAATAATGACATAGCATTGGAATCTACAGTTTTCTTTGGATTGATTTAAAAGGAAGAATGTGAATCTGAGTTTGTGTCAGCTGTGAAACAAAAGATACCAAGGTCTTGTCTTGGGGCTATGTTAATGTACTTTAAAACCATGTGTTTCTAAATGCTGGTCTTATTCGAGCTTTATAATTCAAAAGCTCGAAAGAATTGCGTTTACAGTGTATTTGTTTTTGTCTTATTCGTAACAGTAAAATTGATGTATTTATATATGTACAGTATTGCCAAAAGAACATTTTTTTATAAAGAAAGTTTGTATTGTTACATTTATGAACGGATGATCAATGTTTTCAGACAAAACGGGTATTGTTAGTGGCTATATTGATTTTGTATAGAAGTGAAGATGGAAAAGGGAATTGAGAATATTCTACTTTCTTTCCAAGTTTATTTCTAAAAAAAATTATTAAAAAAAGTTTTCAGCATACTTTTCAGTTGCATATGTACAATGTGCACAAAATACTTTGGATTCCAACGTGTCATTGCTATAAACTCCTGAAATGCTTGAAGAAGTATTCAAAAGTATTTCATTCATTCAACAATTGACATCAAACAAAAATACGATGTATCATTCTATGCTAAAACCAAAACAGGAATATGCTGATAAAATATTGAGGAAAAAAATGGTGACATTATCTTAACAATAATAATTGCTGTGTTGAATATTTAATTAGAGGCTTGAATATTGTTAAGATATACATCTCACGATATGGATTTTTAAATTCTGCAGAATACCTTGGAATTTCATCTTTACATCACAGACAATTTCAAAGTATAAAGTCAATTCACTAAAGCTCCTTAAATTGGCAGCATTTTATGATACAAAAACATGGCTCAAAAATATTCCTGAACGACAGGAACGTTGCTTCTTCCTCATGACATTTTGCAAAAAATAACCACAAAAACAATATTTAGTTCTAAGTACTGATTTCAATGGAACTTTTTTCTTATTTTTGTTTTTTAATTTGGATATCGAATTATTGACACTAAGTGCAACTGTGTATATATATCAGAAAGATATGACAAAGGATACAGGTGACTAGCTAAATCCTCTTGTGTGTGGGTCATAGTAAAGGAGACGTTTCCACAGGCTCTGTAGTTCGTTGCAATGCATGCAAGACTGGGCATCGAAGCTCTGGATAAGCACAGCTTGTCTACAAACGGTGCTGCATTGTGCCGAAAAAGATGCTTTGCCACTGAATGTTAGAGCAGTGGAACCGCTCCTTGTGAATGACATTTAAAAGTGACCTTATTCCAAACAAGGTGTGTAACTTTGAGATGTCAATCTTTTGTACCAGATTTTATCGAGAAATTTTTTGAGATGGAGCCAAGGATGGAGGAAAAAAAATTGATGTATTTGAAAACTTTGTATGATCTTAGCAGTATTTAACAAGTGTGTAGTGTTGTTTTTAACTGAGGCATATTTTTGATACAGGGATCATTTTTCATGCGCATGTGTGCTTTTTCCCCTTTACAACCCTTCCCTGGTTTTTAACTTGATTTAAGGTCTTTAATTCCTGCTGAAAAAATCCAACAATCAAGAAATCAATTTTAGTTTTTAGTCAAAAGTATTCTAACCTACTACGCACATTTTTTTTGTGCCAAAATCTTAGATGTAGAACTGGTTCTTGCTTTGAAAACTGAATTGTTGTCGTACCTTGATATTTTGATGAGATTAGACTGTCAAGTGTTGCTAGATATGCATCATTTCCTTGACAGTGTGTGTGATGGAAATGAAATGCAAGAAAAAGTGCCAAATATATTGAAAATGATGTGTTTATATCTATTCCCAAATGTTCATTTGTTCTAGGAAAAGTATAATTAGAACCCCCACTAAAAATGCGTGTTCGCAGATACCCCATACATTACAATAAAAGTATCAAAGGTTTTTAAGTTGATCATGTTAACTAACCCTCCATATCGATTTCGCGTCCCATACTTAGCTTTGTAATTGGCTTGAGAGAGAGAGAAAACAAATTAGACAATTATTTGCTGAACACTTTTTAAATACCAAGTTTCCTAAACGCACTCCTTTATGACGTATACAGTGATATTTAGATTAGAGTAAAAAGATTCAATCTTTTTGAAGTTTAAAGTACAATGATATAAAATTGTTTTTGTGAAATGTTATTATATATCTATTCAAAACCTGTTTGTAGTTATACAATCATGTTGACTATTTGGGAATGAGCTTTACTCTTAAGAAAAAAGGCGTAACCCTTGAAGTTTTCTACATCATGGGCTTAAATCGCTGTTGGTGATTTTTTTTCTTCAGATAGAGGTATTATTATTACTATAATTATTGTAATTGGTATTATCTAATCAAATCATTATCATTATTATATATACTTCTGTATATTTTGGACAGTTGTTTTGACATCCATGTACCATATATTTCTATCATTTTTACTCAGTAAAAATATTTATGCGTATTAACAGCTGTAAGAGAAACTTGTGTGTCTGTGTATTATCTTATGCATGTAGTTCAATTGATGATAGGAGTAGAGATGAAGGAAAAGAAGAGATGGGGGAGGGATAGAGAGCAGTGAGAGAGAGAGAGAGAGAGAGAGAGAGAGAGAGAGAGAGAGAGAGAGAGAGAGAGATGGAGACAAAGAAAAAGGGGGTTTGGTAAAGGACAACTAGCCTTAGAAATGAGGAAACGAAGGACAATGAGGAAATATGAAATTCAAGAATAACAAAATGAAAATGATAGTAAATAGCTTTTCTTTGCAAACTAACAATGGCTTTAAAAGGGAGTGCAGTAAACTAGATATGAAAGGGGGATTATGAAGTACATACCTTACTGTTAATGGCAGGTGTACTATCACTTTAGATTAAGACTCGTCTAACAATAATGTGTTATGTTGTCCCAATTTCTCAGTAAACGTGAGTTCATATCCTCTACCAAAGATAATAAGGTTAGGACCAAATGAAACATTATTATATTTCCCCTACAAGCAGTCTACATTTGAGTTCCATTTCCCTTTACTTGGAACCGCAAAGTTATTGGAACAGCATCCCTCTTCCCATAAGGGAAATTACCTGTCTTGCCACCTTAAAAAGATCCCTCAAAACTTACCCTTTTCCCCAGTGATCAAGTATGTGATCTACTTCATGTGAGACTGTACATTCTTTGTCCTTTTTCATATATTTGTATTTGTAAGCGCTATGGTATGTTTTTAGCACTCCTAAATATTCAATATTATTATTATTATTTCTAATGCTCCATAATTAGAATGAGATACATGTACAAGCTGCTTGTTTGGACTCGAGATTGGTAATCTAAGCCCATTGGAGGATTGGTAACTTTAGCCCAATGAAATGGTAGATACCCGGATCAATCATTAGGTTTTTATGATATGACTCAAAACTTAACATTTTAAATACAAAACCCTCACCCCCCCCCCCTCCCACACAACACACACACACACATGTACACACACTTGCAAACACATATTCTCTCTATAGTCAATAGTCTTGTAATATCTGTCTATTGCCTGGAATACCTTAATTAGTTTAGTTCATACATGAATTTGTATCTTTCAACTTTCCTACCTATTCACTTTCAGTCAACCAATGTGTTCCTATTCCAATGTAAACCACATATCAAACAAACAGACTTCAGACTTTGAACCAATCGTTGTTTCCACTCTTGGAATTTAATTTGAGCAAAAAGAGTGATCTACATACAATGTATGATAAGAAAGAGAGAGACAGTGAAAATACCCGTTCCATACTACCTCTAAGCACCCCAAAGGCATCAATAATTTGACATATTCATCCAATTCAATTCATTAAAGTAGAAAATGAAAGCTGATAGAGTGCAGTGTCATTCATTGCAAATCCCAAATCACTACATTCAACATCTATGTATCACTAACTGCCACTACTTGTGACAATATCACCTTTACTTCTAAAAACAGTCTCAATCCAACTGGCCCACAAACTGATGTAAATTGGGCCCACACCTGTAAGTACTTCGGAACTCAAGATAAATTATTCAGCTGCCTTCCTAAAACAGGTTTAAAAATATGTCACATTAATATAAATTCAATTGTACCAAAGTTATCTGAACTTAAAATTGTACTTCAACATAATCCTTTCCATGTTGTTGCTGTCTCTGAAACCAAATGCGATGCTACCATATCTGATTCTGAATTAGACATTGAAAATTACAATATTTTCCGCAAAGACCGCAACCGGCATGGAGGGGGTGTGGCTCTGTACGTGAAAGATGACGTAAGTTGCCGGTTTGAAAATAATATTACATGCGACGATATTGAAGCCCTGTGGGTAAAATTATCGCCAAAACATTCAGAAACACTTCTTATATGTGTTATCTACAGACCTCCAAATTCGTCGTCTAGTTACTTTGATTTATTGAACGGAATGTTAAGTCAAGCTGTCACCAATACAGATGTGGAAATGATATTACTTGGAGACTTAAATTGTGATATGTGTCCAAATAACATAGACTCTCTATCACGATCTCTCGAAGAGATGATGTCTGGTTTTCTTTTTGATCAACTGATTGATGTTCCAACACGAGTGACGACAACGTCGCAAACTATTATTGATCTTATATATTCCACTGACGTAGAAAATCACTCCTTGAATGGAGTGCTAAAAACATCATTTAGTGATCATTATATGATTTTCACCGTTTACGGTGATGCTGATATTACTCAAAAAGAAAATATCATAGAATGGAGAGATTTTAAGGGTTTTGAGTTTGCAGAATTCAATTTTTTACTTTCCCAAGTGCATTTTGAAGAATTATATCAGTGTAAGGATGTTAACTCTGCATGGGATATATGGTACAACCCGATAATGGAAATTGTAAATATGTGTGCACCATACAAAAGAAAACGTCTAAGAAATAATCCATGTCCTTGGGTGACAGGTGACGTCATTAAATTGATGAACACGAGGGACTACCTTCGTGATAAAGCAATACAGCTCTCGTCATCAGATTTTTGGGAACAATATAAAAAATGCAGAAATCTTATCACACGCGAACTCAAAAATCTTAAAAAATCATACATTACTTCATTATTGAACGACAAATCAGGAAACGCAAATGCGTTATGGGATGTTATGCGACGTCTTACTAAGAAAAGTCAGTCTAAAAATATAATATTGAATGTAAACGATGTTGAAATATCAGACTTAAAGGAGGTTGTTGAATATTTTAATACGTATTTTGTTGACTCCGTTTCTGAACTCACTAAAGGTTTTGAGCTCGAGACCGAAACTATTAAGAGATGTGAATCACTTGAAGAAAATCTGGAAAAACAAACAAACGGTGATTTACTTTACTTTTCAAATATCTCGATAGATTTCGTCATCAAACAGATAAAATCATATACTTGCAAAAAAGCAACTGGGTATGATGAACTCTCTGTTAAAATACTGAAATATATCTGTGATATTCCTCATGTAATGGAAAGTTTAGTATATATACTCAATTTGTCTTTGCATTCTTCAGTATACCCTGATGCTTGGAAGATAGCCCGAGTCCAACCAATTCCCAAAGGAGGGGATACAGCCATAATGAAAAACTACAGACCCGTGTCTATATTGCCGATTTTATCTAAAATAATTGAAAGGGCAGTTTATTTAAATATCTTTGAATATCTGTCTCAGCATAATCTATTTTATAAGAACCAATTTGGATTTCGTCCTAAGCACTCATGTGAAACAGCCCTATTGTGCATGGTTAACCAGTGGTCAGTCAATGTAGACAAAGGGTATTTAAATGGTGTAGCTTTTATAGATCTCCGACGTGCATTCGATACAGTCAATCACTCTCTCCTTTTAAATAGATTACATCAATATGGTTGCTCTCCGCATGTGATTAAATGGTTTGAATCATACTTGAAAAATCGCCAACAATTTGTCTCATTAGGGAAAGAAAAATCAACATTTAGAAATATAACAATGGGAGTTCCACAAGGGTCCATCCTGGCCCCGCTCCTTTTTACTCTATTCGTTAATGACCTCCCATGTTCCATCTCAAATGGCATTGTTTATATGTATGCGGATGATACTACTATTTCTGTATGTGGAAAAACTAAGCAAGAGGTAGAACTCAAACTGACAAAAGCTCTTGGTGAACTGAATTCTTGGCTGAATAAAAATAAGTTGATTTTGAATAGTGATAAAACCAAAACGATGCTGCTAGGATCAAAGCAAAAGCTTAGATCATTAGATAACAGTATGCTGTCGATTGAATTAAATAGATGCCAATTGGAATGTGTATATACATATAAATGTTTGGGAGTTATAATTGATAACAGTCTTGACTTTAAAAAACATATCGAAAGTATTGCTTTAACTGTGAAACAGAAATTAGGAACTATTCGTCGATGTAAACATTATTTTGATAAAGCACAATTGACCAAACTGTACTGGGCTTTTGTAGTGCCCCATTTAATGTACTGTTGTACCGTTTGGTCTGGGAGATCTGAAGCAAACCATAGTAAACTGGAAAGATTACATAAGAGGGCAGCATATATGATATCTCGTTTTTCCTGGGAAACCCCATCTGAACAAGTGTTTGAAATTCTATCCTGGCCGAAAGTAGATCATCTGTTTTTTAGAGCATCTTGTTGCATGATTCATAAATGCTTACATAAAGCTGCACCTGAAGTACTAGGTGATAAGTTTATTTATACTGAAGCGATATCATCTCGAACAACAAGGAGCACAAATAAGATGCTAATTAGGATGCCACATGTTCGTACGACCTTTTATCAGAAGTCATTTCTTGTCACAGGTCCATCAAACTGGAATAAATTACCCGAACGTATTCGATTTATAAAAAATATGAAACCATTTAAACAAGAATTGGCAAAATGGCAAAAGACATCCACATTTTAATATGATTATGGTATGATATAACTCTTCTTTTTCTCCTCTTTTTATATATTTTATCATATCTTCTTCTTGTTTTCTCTTGTTGGTTTGTTATTGTGGTTGTATGTTGCTGTTGTTGTTGTTATACATATTTGTATCATATACATTTTACTAATTTCGTTATTCTCTATGTTCAAATCCTTTTATATAACCTGGTTTGCAATTTTAGTTTGTTAAAATCGTATTTTGTAACTTTCTATATTTATTTATATTTTTATATTCGTATCATATACATTTTAATCATTTCGTTATTCTTTATAATCAAATCCTTATTTATAACCTGGTTTGCAATTTTTTGTTTGTTAAAATCGAATTTTGTAATTTTCTATATTTATTTGTATTTTGATATGTTGATGAAATGTATATACTTGTTTGTGTCATGAAGGGCCTCAACGAAAACCAGTATTTGTTTGCTGATTGGGCTACCCTTCTTTTTAAAGATGTGTTATAAATAAAAAAAAATAAATAAATAAATAAATAAAATCGAATCACTTTGATAAAATGAAAATAACTTTAAACATATTTCTGTAATTGGTCAGTATTTGGTTACTTTAAATCATGATTAACTTTGTATTAGTTCCATGATTATTACACATATACTACCAAAGGAAATACAAATCTTATATGTCATACTTCTTGTTGATTCATTCCATCCAGCATTATTTTCCAAGGTGGAAAATATGAAATCATTTTGTGGTCAATTCACAAGACGTTTATGTCTTTCACATAGATCATTGTTATAGAAATATATATTTTCAATTCATGTATTCAGTTTCATATCATTAGTTCAATATTTAAGGCATGATATTTCAATCAAGGCATGATGATTATTAATGGAAGAAGTTTTATCATAAATTTACGACAAAGAAAGTGATATATACTTGTCGCTTTCAGTAGATAATTATTGTGGTATTGTTTCATACATTCATATCAATTCAATGACACATATTCTACTTCAAATCAAAGTATTTATAGACTTTTCTAAATAAATGCTACAACCTCAAGCTATAAAAGGTACCACATGTAATAACATCTTCGCTGAATTCATGATTACGCTCCTTTCTCATGTACCAAAATATATATTCTTTGTTCAGTTTTTGTTACCAAAAAACACTTAAAATAAAATAGATTCTATAAACTATACTATACTATGGTATAATAGGTTTTTAGGAATTTTCTTGCATTGCAACATAAAACATTCTGTGGGAAGAATGTTACTTGACTACCTTGTAAATGCCATGATGAATAAAGTGAAATAATATCAAACAAAAGTGTATAAGACATACATATAAAGATAATAAGACAAACATATAAAGTGAATAAGACATACGTATAAAAAAAAAACATAATACATCATATCTACATAACATACACATCTTATATTGGTTGCGTAAGCTACGCAAATTATCAGCTTTCGTGTTACATCCTCTTTTTCTTAGACCTAACTTGTAATGCATGATATTTATCTGTAACAGTATTCTCTTGTGAAACAAAAACATATTCTGAATATATTAATGAAAATTACATTGGAAATTCATATTATTTAAAGCAATTCTCCCCTACGATTTAATAATCCATTCATATTCTCATAATCGATTCCCTTATATGGAAAAATTGAAAATTACATGGTTTTACCATTCAAAATATATATAAATAAGGTCATTAATTGATCATTCTTTAGTTGTATCAAGACAAAACTAAGCACTGAAGAGCAACTTGAATTATTTCATGATTAATTTTTTCTACAAATATAGATATAAAGCTTTTAAGCTTTCCAATAACAATTTTACAATCACTAATATAAGGATACAGAAAGAACATGAGTGGGGCATATATTTCTAAACATTTTTGGGGTATTTCGATAAATCAACTTAATGTTTGCAACTTAATGTTTGGTCGCATCATACAACTATTACAATTGTGGAGGGGGGATAAAGTAAGTACATTCAGGAGGCATGTTAAATTACATCCTATAATAACATGAAAAGAAATCAGTAATTGATTCAAAATTGTGACAGGCACAGATATGGTTGAGAGATTTTTTGGTTTAAAGGCATATGGAATTTGTAACATTCTATTGCTCTCATATCAGAACATGAAGTTCAGCTTTAGTTTAAAGCACATGTTGTTTCACCTATATGACTGTTTGGTGAAACATTCCTGTGTGTGAGTGCTGACCACACCACCATTACACATGCTTAGAGAGTAACCTAGTCTATGACTTTAGACATCAATGGCTGGACTATCACCCTCATCCTAACTTTTTCATTTTGCTTCTACCCCCTTCCCAAAAGGCCACATGCCCCTTCTCGATGAATAGCTGGGACCCGACCATGCTAGCATGGCTAGATACTGCGGAGCATCTCTTTCAGAGAATGCTGTTGATCCATGCTCGACTTGATAACCCCCAATCTCTTTCTCTCTCTACAAAGGTACAGACCAGATTCGAGTCCGTTACCCTACAGAGGTCGTTGGAGGTCGGCAACCCTAGCAGATTATATATTACCGAAGAGTCTTTGGACCCCGGCTCCTGGAACGTTGTAGATGATGAGGACGATGAAGGCTACGAGGAGGAGCAGGAGGAGGAATCCGATGATGTACCATTTGTAGTTGTGCCAGATGATGTACTTGAGGGATTTCCAGGGGGAAAGAAGGAAGTTGAAAGAAGTCTCAGGACGACTGAATAGGAGAAAGATGAAAAATAGGAGAAACACAGTGTTAATTACTTTCATCGTGGACATGTTACCATGACAACTCTAATCATCTCATAGAGATATAATAGTAGAGTAGTTTAACAAATGATCACACTAGGTTGGGGTTGTATATGGCACATGCTCCGGCAAAAATTGCTCCGTGGTCAATTTCTTACACTAACTAAATTGTGTAAATTCAAACCTAGACCAAACACTAAACCTTAACCTAACCCTAACCACCTTTAAACCCCAAACCATGTAACCCTGACCCTAACCCTCTATCTCTGACCATATAGAGCCTGGAGTAAATGTTGCAAGAGAAAATGTTAAACCAACCAACTAGGTTTCATATATGCTAGAAGTAGAAGTGATAGGCATGTTGAGAGCCAGAGTGTATGATGTAACACCCTTCTGAATCCCAGCAGGCATTATATCCTCCCTGCAATCATGTTATAATATACATTTATGCAACACAACAATCTTGTCCTCTGCTACATCATTTTATTTGCATTTGTATCTCTTCACCCAGGTGTAGCAAAGGGGTAAATAACCAAACAACTCCCAACAGAAAGAAACACCGACTGTTTTTGTCTGTGTATGGAGTTACTGCTGAATATAATAGCAGTTAAAAGAGTTATTGAACCACCAAACAGAGAGGTAAATATAGAGCAAACTGGAATCCTTATTTTAGAAACAGATACAAACATGACAATTTGAGAACATCACCACTGCATATCAGCTCTGCATCAGTAAATATTATTACCTTTTCTTTCTAATAGACCCCTGTGCATGGAGCCATAACAAAAATTGTCCTTAACATGACCCATAGCTTACGTCACATGCAGCCCTGGGATATAATTCACAAAGTGCAATTAGAAACAGTTCAGCACACAGCCCCATCGTTTAGGTCCTTAAAAAGCAGCTTAGCTCTTTTCTTTCTTCTCCCCACCATAATCAATCATACTATTGCTCTCCAATCAAAATTTTAATTCGCCAATCCTCCGGTCCCGAAGGCAACTCAGATTTCATCCGTTGACAGCCAGAAAGACATTATACCTCTATAATAGGCTCATTTACATTGCAGAAAAACAAATTTGAAAAACCATCAATTTTTTAAACAACCATTACCCTACTGGAACGACCCATGAAAACCCATGAAAATTCCTTCTCTCTCCCTCACTTCCCCTCTGTATCTCCCCTCCCCTCTCTTTCCCTCTAAACTCTCTCTTTTTCTTTCTACCCTCCCCTTTCTTGTCCCCCTCTTTCTCTCTCACCACTTCTTCTTCTTCTCTCTCTCTCTTTCTCTTTAGTCATTTCTCTTCTTTTCGATTTCCTTTTCATACCTCGCCTTGGTCTAGCCACATCTAGCCAGCCGTTGTATATTGTATTGTAACCATATTTTCATGTGTGTGAAACAATATGTTCTTCTTAAGTGTATATTTGTTGGTTCAATTTTGTTTAATACACTATTCAATTTCATTGAAAATCAACCATTATGAGTTCCTGAACTTTACGAGTTGATGTTTTTAAACCGAATAAATAAATAATAAATAAATAAATAAATGATTGCTTATAAATTCTATTTGTTTGGTGAGATGAGCGTATGCGCCACGCTGCTCTGCATGTGTTTTTCATTCAAGTGAGGGGAGTTACGTGATCGAAAACCAGAACAGTTCACAGGTGTTTTGAGCATGAGCATTTACACTGCAAAAAAAGGTGGAATTTCGGCTGGTGTTTTTAAAAAAAAAACACTCCCAGTGGTGTTTTTTTTTCTTGATTATGTTTTTTTGTTGTGTTTATGGGTAGTTGCCAGGCAACTTCTGATAAAATTCAAGAATGTGAGAAAAACCAATGTTTTTTGCTTGCAGTGAAAATGCAGCTTTTGTAAAAGTTTAGGAGTTTATACAGTATTATGCCCTTCAGGCTCTCAGCGGTTGTTTATCATGGAGATCACTGGTTATTTCAAGTGAGTCATCGATAATTCATTGTTATTTCTTCACCTTAATCAAAATCACTTCAAATACAATTATCTGATCACATCTATCATTTTATCGCTTAATGTTTCACAGCAAGAGAGAAATTATATCTCAATCAAAAGATGACATCCTAAGTTTCATCAATTGAATTTTCTCTCTGTTCATGTAATCTGTTCTCAGAAAAATATTAAAAGAATGTATTACTTTGGGAACATATGGTATATGAAATGAATACCTCATTATTTTGATGATAATCCACAAAATAATTTAATAATCGTTCTTTGTTGGTAGTATCGAGACAATATCTAGGGATGCATTCGTTAAGATACCTTGGTGTCACTCTAAAGCCCCCAAAGAACGAATCTTAATCTCTTTCGTTTTCTTTTGCTAGCTGAGGTAGGGATCATGTTTAGAGCAAGGGACTTAATTCACAGCAAACACTTACCAAAGATTCATGTAACAAAGATTGCACATTATCACAAGTAAATTAAATACTAAGCAGTAATACAAAGAGCCTGATTCTATTGTGTACAATGCATCTTAACATTATCCCTGCCAAGCTCCATACCATCACTGTCAGTAATGTAATGAAAAATGAGCCAAGGAAGGAGTAATTATCGCCCATACAATGATTGAAAAGACTTTAATCATTAAAGGGAGGGCAGCGAATGATAAATTGAATACCTGAGATCAATGAGAGATATTTGTCACTCCAATGCATTCATGTACAATAATGTAAGGGGAATGAGATTTTGATCATCATATTGCCCTGCAGAATATTAGCCATTGTTCGCATGACGCTATTGTCGACAGGTCACCAACAGTTCAATATTGTGACACCATACCTGTGTACTGATGCGACTGAAACATTCTTATTTCTTCAAAGATCGTTTCTGGGTGCAAAGTACTGCCTTGAGAGGCGAGAATCTTTTTTGATTCGTCTCTTGACAGCTCAAAAGAGAAGCGAAAAATGCTCCGTACTAGGTGTTGGTTTGGCACTGCCACGTGTCAATCACTTCTTCTTGCAAGGAATGCTATGATCTCAAGGTCTTGATGTGTTTCAAATAATAAATAAACTAGGAGGATACCTTTCCGTTACATGAAGTCATTGCTAAATGCAGCAGGAATATCTAGGACAAGCAGAATCATTTGAGACTCTTTTCTCTGAAAACTAAACAGGCCCAAAAGAATACAAATTGTTGAAGCTGCACTTTCTTGAGACATTGCCTGGAAAAGTTTATTGTGGTGAAATGTTATTACACGCCCAACATGACATGCATAATGTATTTTTAATTGAAATCTAGAGGGGGCGTGTATAGCAATGAAGAAGACTAATGTAGCAATAGTATAGGTATTGGAATACAAACTCTATCACCTTACCAGTTAGTTGTCATTATTAAAGAGATCTTGAAGGAGGAATAGAACTCCTGAAGAATTGTACAATGAAGGGGGTGCTCAATTAGCAACGTGTTTTCACACCATTTTGTAATTTGGCCGACATTAATAGTGGCTTAAATATAGAAAGCACCTTGGCTGATGAAATGGCTGTAAGGGAATCTGTCAGTTTTAATAGTAGTAAACAGGTTCTGAAATAGAGGGGGGAATAGTTGTGAAACATTACCTAACTCTTTATTTTAATCTCTAAAGGAATGACTGCATTTGTAAAAACTTGTCTCTCTTGAGGAAAAACAACACATTTATCATCCCCTGGTATTACAATACATTTCATTTTCACCAAATAAACAGGAATTCTGTATGACCAAAACATACTTAGCAATTCACGTTTAATATAAACAGGTAAGATGGAATCTAATAGCACCCTATTTTAAAGCGAGGCTGAATCAGCAAGACATATCCTGGAACCCTTTAAAAGATTCCAGGGACCATTATCTTCTCTTCCATCCTTAATCTCTCCAAGGTGTGGAGGAGAACGAGGATGAAGAAGAAAACATCTTGGCAACATCTTTCTCTCCTTGGATGGCATCCATCGCCTGCATCTCGTCCTTGCAGCGGAGCGGAAGAAATCACGTTTCCGCATCCACTTAACCAGCCCCAGTCTATTCGCGGCACGTTCCAGCCTTTCGATTTTTCCATTAAGCGCCGGATGACCCCCGCTTGAACTCCTCGTATGATTCCCTTTGTTGTCATGTCACGGAAACTACATGAATGTTTTATCATCCATAGTTGAGGAGCATCGTCTCTCTCTCTTCCTCTCCCTTCTTTTCTCTCCCTCTTGCTTCAATTATATTGATCATGTCTTTCTTCTGTCCAGCCAGGCATAGTCCTTGCCCTGGCGAGGCAGGGTCCTAAAGGGTCGGGAGGGGGCCACTAGATGGGGGTGGATCCCAATATGTTAAATAAAGACCTGACTTAATGAGTTTGCACAAACCGATGGATTCTTTTTCAAAATCAAATAGAAAAAAAATGGAGGGGAGAAAAAGAGAAAGATATCACCTGGATACTAAGATAAGGGGTTAACTTTGGTCCAGATGAGGCTGACTCATATATAGAGGATCAATAACTCTAACCACAATAAATGAACTAAAATGGTATTGATCTACTTGTTATGAACTGGAATGAGTGTCCTTGAGTATTGTTCCTTAACAAACAAAACAGTATTATAGTGTTAAGTCCCGACTAAGAGCTAAAGTGGAGTGTGTAAATGCTCTTTTAAAGAAGAAAGAGCCTCCCAAATTGCCTTAGCTTGAAATTTAAGCATTAGTGAGGAAAGTGAAAGTTCTCATATTGTTCCACTTTTATCAAAAGATATATTTAAAAGGTGTTTTGATATTTTGTGAACATCCATCAATTATTTTGATCTGTGCCTATTAAAGCACACAGCAAAGCAAAGCAATCTAACAGAGGTTTTTGGAAAACCCATGCTTTCACAAGATCATTGGGGGAAAATGTAACAGCTTAGAATTCTTATTCTTATCTGCTATTCATCAATGAAAATCAAAGAAAGATATCTGTGGTGACAAGTTTTCTGGGTCATCTTAAGTTTGAATAA